AGAAAACACCAGAATGGTAAAATTTAGATGGTGAATGTCGATTAAAGTGAAGTTTCGATTTTAGTATGCAAGTGTTAACTAATACTTCATATATTTTTTCGGAAACTCCATAAAATGTTTCTTTCATCTAATTGTATCCACTCAGGTTATTTGGGGAAAATTTGACGAGACGAGTATCTTGGAGAATATATTTCATCCGCTCCAGGGGCTATCTGCGGAAACTTAACAGCTCCGAACGGTTAAGGAGTTTCATAATCCATTGAACATTTTATTGCCCCGGTTTATCTGGAGAAATGATGACAGCATCCTTCTATTAATTAGTTTTCTGAACTATTTCATCTTTTTGAACCTTTTTATCTTACGATTCTTTGATACGTATAAATAAACAATTCCCCACGATTTAAAAAAGCGTAAAAAGCATTCTTGTGAGTAAAAATCAGTCTTCAATTTATCAGTTTTTTGAAATTCATTCAATCAATTTTTTTTATCAGGTTTCCATTGTTTCTCGAAATCTTTGTTTTTTCTATCAAATTTCTTGCTACGATTAACTTCAATTCTTCTTTATCTCCCTAACTTTAATCTTATAGAAATTCCTAAGATCTGTTGCAATTTCCTGAAATCTGAGATCCAAATTTGAAATGTCTTTTGCCCACTTAAAAAATTTCATCGACAAAAAAAATTGTTTTGTGAATATGTTGCTTTTTAAAACTTTTGTTTTTTATGTTTTTTCAATCTTTCTCAGAGTAAACTTTAAAAAAGTCGTACAATTTTAAAAAGTTGATTATAAATTTTGTAAACTTATCTACTCTATTGAATATGCATTCAATTGTGGGTCTACATCATCCTTATTCTATCAAGATTCTCCATTTTTTGTTTCAGAAAAAAGAAAGCTGCTATAGCTTTTTTTTCAAAAAAAAAATTAAGAACTTAAACGAGTAATTGCATTGATAAAGAATTAATTCACTGCATTTTATAAAAAATTTGTTGCAAAATTGAAAAAATACAAATAAAAAACTGCCCATTTTTATGATTTATTTTTATAAAATCCAAAACTGCACGTCATGAAAATGAGTCAATTTCTTCTCAAAGAAATTAAAAAGAAAAAAAGCTGAAATTATTGCGTAAAATTAACACAAATTATTTGTTTTTGTTTTGTAGTTTCGGCAGAGCATTTGCCTGTAATTCTTTATCAAAAAAAAGTAGCTTTGATCTTTTCCCTCTCAAAGAATCAGCAAAACACTAAGTCTTGTCCAGTCGGGCAAACATCAACCAGTGCTTACCTCTATTATTGCTTGGAGTTGAGCTCGGTATTTTAAAAAAAAAAGTGTTTTTGCTAGTTGAGTGAATTTATCAGCTGGGTATGATCCAGAAAAATTGAATTTAAGTTCAGGAAATCTTTCAATAAGGTGTGAAAAAGAAAAATTCTCCTTCTTTGCAATTGTTACTTAATTTACTTCTAATAGCACTTTTTGAGACGTGTTAGTTGAAAAAGAAACTGTAAGCTTGGTGACTTACATGAATTTAGGTACTGAATCGTCAGGTATCTATACACAGCTTTTATATATGACACAAAGATTAAACACTGCATTACAATCAAGGTTGTAGACATTTCTTAGTTTATCAACAAAGCAGCATTCATTTTCTGTTTTTTTTCTTACGCTCTAAGTCTGAAGAAAAGTATAAAGCTGAAGAACAGAGAAGGTTTGATTCTGAAAACAAGTTTTCTTGAGATCTAAATTTGGAAAAAAGTTTAAGTTAACATCAATACACAAACTGAAAAAGTTCCTAAAAAATTGAAAATTCACGATAAATTTCCGAGACTTTTGACATTTTTAGCAAATCTTTCTTTTTGAATTTTTGATAATCTTGCTTCCAAGATAATCACTTCCAACAGCTGCTCCGAGAGGAACTGAAAAAGTTTTTCTGATTGCAAGTTTTCTCCGCTAACGTCTCAAAGTTTCAACTATTCAGCTGCATCTTGTAAAAAAATCAGGTCATAAACTCAAAAGTAGTAATTTTGAAAAAAATCTATAGGAATAATTGAGAAATGTTTGCTAATCTGCATTGCTTATTTTTTTTTGTAATGTAAGTTTAACAAGCAGAAGTTGCATCTAATAAAACAGCTGCTCTTTCACCACGAATAATTTTAAGCTATCTCAAATGAAAGTGTTGATAGTTGAAATGGTTTTTTGAAGAAATCCAGCAAAAGCTGAGTTTGTTTTAGTTGCAACAACTATTTTTCTTATTGAAGCTTTTCAAAAAAAATTTTCTGATTAAACTTAACTTATAATGAACGAATTTTTTATGTTCATTCTATAGTTTCCATGTAATTGGTTTGAGCAGATTTTTTATCCAGGTTCCATTGCGAGTAGTGATGATAGGGTTCAGTTACTAAAAATCTTCTAGTGAGCAGCGGTCAATCAACAATTTTTAGACTAACTTTCGGATTATCAGATAGCAACTAAAAGTTAAAACTAGCTCGACTTAGTTCAATTTGATCGTTTTTGTTTGGAAATCAAACGATTTCCTTATTAAGCAAAACAATAAAAAGCCTCCCATAGAGTGAAAAAAACTCTGCTCCTAACAAATTTGCTCTCTCAGTGAACCGATGCATATCAAATGTTTCCGGAATCTCTTTAGGACGATATCTATGACAATGAAGAATTCATTTATTACTCACAGCCGTCGAGTTGAATTTGTTCGTGGTTTGTGCTATATGAGGATATAATCCAATGGCGTTGAAAAACCA